ATGCAAATTAATCAATTTGAACTGCAAAATTCCTAAATTAATAGTCTAAATCAATTTACTAAATGCATTACATACTATCTATCAATCATATTCATTGATAAAAAAAAGTTATGCATCCAGATAGAATTGTACAATTACTGCAAAACTAATTATATACCTATCTGAGACAGGTGTCTCAGATAGGTATATAATTAAATTGTTACAGTTGTGGACCAATTAAATATCAGGTAATACCACCAGAATGCCCTAAAATTGCTATCCCAGTATCCTGTATAAAAGCTTGCAGACTTGCTACATTCAGAATTTTCAGTATACCTATTGTGTGGAGATCTGGAGGAACTCCAAGAATGTTTGTATGGCACAATCAAAGATATTAAGCACAATTGATAAAGTTTGAGAAAGGCTATATCATCAGAATGAGGAAAGTGGAATGACTGTTGCCAAATTGCTCAACATTAGGCTGTTCTGGCCATGAAGAGTTGTGGTAAGGGATACATCAGGACACACATCACAACAGAAAGCTATGGGCATCCCAGACAAACCACCAGAAAATCATAAGACAAATGCAAACAGCTGCATTGGCATCTTTGTTCATCATCCAGAGACAGGTTGAAGCCTTGCTACAGAACCCTCTCTCTTCCTTTCTCACTGGCACATTATACTTGCATACATGGCAACCACTGAATGTCTTGCCATTAGCACTCCAACATTGTCAGCTTCATTTGCAGTGGTGTCATGATAGAGAAGCATGGACTGATACAAACTTACAAAATATCATTATTAGTGATGAATCTTTCATCACTAACTAAAGATGATTCGTCTTTAAGGATAAATAATGGTCATCTATTCCTAAACAGAACCAGGATGTTAATGTGGAGGACCATTAGTGAGCACTTCAATCCCACCTTTGTTGAGTGTCACACTGTCCTCACTGCTAACTTGTTGGTCTAGGATGCCATTTATGTATTCCAGTCATTCCTAGTAGTAGTGCAATGGACATTGATGGCACACTTATGAAAGCCTGTGTCATTGTATGTTTTTCATGGCAGTAATTTTCCAGGAAGATAATATTTGGCTACACTCAGATAGGATTACCAGGAATGTCTTTTGTCCCATTGCCATATTTGCTTGGCCTGTCCAATCTCTAGATTTGTGACTGAGAATTTGTGGGACCAAATGGGATGCCAGCTTTGATTATCTATGAGTATGAGTATTGGCAGATGCAATATCAGTGAGTAAATCTGTCACAGGATAGCATTCATATCTGTATAACTCTATGTCCAACTGTATAATCATAAGTATCCAAGCAAGAGAAGGTCCTACAAGGTACTAAAGGTTCCTTTAAATTCTACAACTGTCCATAGAAAATTGTCACTTTGCTATAACACTGTAATCACTTACCATTATCATTACGTTCACATTAATAAAATTTCATTTGATTCCAACACCATCTTCTTGGTGCATAACTTTTTGTTAATGAGTGTATGTAGCAAACTAACTATATAACTGTCCACTTGTTTGATTTTTATTTTTTTTCAGAAATTAGTAAATCTATTTTAGTCTATAAACAGTAAAATATTAAACTAAAAGAGTAAAGTATGCTTAATAAATGCAAATATCCATATTATTTTGTGAATGAAAAAAATTTGAAATTATTTAAAAGATAAAAGTTTTAAAATTTCATTTAAGTAATAAAAATGTATAAATGTTGACTGTCAAATGTTCTGAAAATAAGTATTTAATAAGTTCTTCAATATGCAATAAAAAAAAATCTAACTATTCTTTTTAAAAACTTTTTGTTTGATCAGGGCTGTGGAGTTGCATAAAAATCTACCAACTCCAACTCCGACTCTTCCTTACCATCCGGCTCCGACCAGGGGCGGAATTGTTACTAAAAGAGAGAAGAAAATTCTGATGTCATCACATGACCTCAGAATAAAAGATTCAATAAATAGAGTTTTAATACAGATAGAACGTAGAAACTTTTTATTCCAAAGCTAAAAGACTTCTCTAAGTAATATATAAATATGTATTCGATAACTTTTACTTTTCCGGCTGTTATATATAACAGAGGGAAGGTGTAACGATCGGTCAAAAAAATGATCCTTCCCAAATTTTTACATTTTTGGACTCAGGACATCTTGAAATTTCGAGATATGCAAAAGATTTGATGTTATTTTTCTATATGTGTGTATGTTAGACTGTGTGGAGGGCATGATTTCGTTCCCTCTGTTTGAAGCCTAATAATTTCTGTGGTCAGAATGGTTGGAATCAGAGTCGGATGGTTTAACACAGGAGTTAATTATTAAGCGTCAAAGTGGTTGAACTAAATCGTTTCCCATATACATTCTAACATCTTAGGTGAGAACATCTTAACGGCTTTTACTGTACTATTATGAAATGACAAAAAGTTTACTTTGAGGGTAGAGACAAATTTTTTTTTTTTTTTTAATTTTGTACGCTAATAATGAGTAAAATATTCATTAAGAGATATGACACATGACCACTTTTATATCTTCACTCTGTCGACCTTTAATTAAGAACCAAAATTTAATAGTATTAATACCCCTTTATATGCAAGCCACAGTGCCACATTTCGTTTCTTAAACTTTACCCATTCTGAGATATTGTTTAATATCTCAGAACAGAAAATAAAGAAGTTAAACAAATTAGATGCCAACACATACACACACGCGAATTTTTCCTCTGAATTTTTATTGACTTTTTGAAGGGTTTGAGAGGTCTCCAAACATGTAGATTTGAAAGAAAAAAAAAAAACCTGGAGGGTCAAATTTGACACGATTCCAGATTCCAGTACTTTTCCGTTTTATATACATAAGAAGTTGGGAAATAAAAAGGTGTCAGAGTCGGTGGATTTTTTGACAACTCTGACTCCGGCTAAAATACCAAAACTCCATGACTCCGATTCCGACTCCAACTCCACAGTGTTTGATCCATAATATATTGATGTTTTAAAATTCTGATTATTTTAATCAACATATCAAATATATACAATAAAACTTGATTATACTAAAACTTAAATTTTCAATATCCATATGTTAAATTTTAATCTTATTTCATCCATTTATCTATATTTTTCTAATTTTACTATTTATTTTATCAACTATATGATAATATTTACATTTATATGACATCATATATTAATATGATCTAGAAAAGTTTGTAAAATTCATTTTTTCTCACTAAAAACTTAATTTTGAATTTTCTTTGATATTTCAAATATATTGTAAATCAAATACAGTTGTCCCTTGATAATCTGACATGTATGGGACCAAAGGGGTGTCAGATTACCAAAAGTGTCCAGATTACCAAAAGTGATTACATATTTGGCATTGTTTTGCTAGTAGTAGCCTACAATATTCCCTACTTCAACTGTTTGAACAGAACTGCTCATGGAAAACACAAAAAAAGTGTGTCATTGTTTAAGAATTGGGTGGGGAGATTCATGTCACGACATGCTTCTGTGCAAGCAGATATGTAATGGGGACGGGGACTACAGTGACCTTTATGGGAAGTGCATCGGACTACTGAGCACGTCAGATTACAAAACGTCAGACTATCAAGAGACAACTGTAGTTTTACAAATTATAAAATTTTACTTTAACATTTTTGATTTTTCATCTTGTAAATAAAATCCATGATAATTGTATTACAATCAGCATAAAGCTGATTATAATCAAAAACATTTGCTTTTTATTCTGTAAAAGGCAAATGTTTTGCTACTTTTCCAAACAAATTCAGTTTTTATGTTTTAATTTTGTGTTGTAATTTCCAATAGTTTTAAAACAGTTTTATCAAGTTTTAATATTTAATTCTGAATTTTAATCAAATTACATACCATTTTTGTTATTAATCTTTTAAAATTACTGATATTATCAATTTCTTCAATAAAATCATAATTATTTATCTCCATCAAAAACTGGTTGTATGTAATGAAAAACACACAAATATACCCAAAACAGTAAAAGGAATAAAATGACATCGGTTAGAAACAGACAAAAACATTTGTATCATGAAACTTTTACTAGATTTGAGTAATTTGTGTGTTTTTTCATTATTTATCTTATCATATTATACCAATTTCACATGTTGAATGCAAATAAGAGTTTCACAATATATCTGTTTTCTGTTTTTATACTTTAATAAACAAGTACATAAATCTTAAAAATTTATATTTTTTAACAAAAAATAAATAAATATATAAATAAAAACACAGTATTGTATAACAGTAACCACATAAAAGTAATTTATTATAAATATAACAAACCGTATTAAATGACTACCTACATTGTGTTATACATCATCTATATTTTATTTACAATTTTTTGTTAAATAATTATTATTATTTCTTAATAATTATGTAACTTTCCACTTAATATTGTGATCCAAATTACATTTTCTATGGTAATCCTGTGATGTAATAATATCAATTTACAAGTCATCTTGCTTATATTGAATATAGAGTTTTATCCTTTATACTATCAAAATTTGCACAGTTATTTTCATATGTTTGCAGCTTAGTATCAAAATATGATTCAAAATTGTGTACATTACTTCATTTTATAAAATAATACGTGTGATTATTTATGTAGACTAAAAGTCTCATCGTATTTACTGTAAATATGACTAATATATTGAGTGTTATAAGACTTCTTGTATATATTGTGTATAATATACTTACGTTTTATCATTACACATAGGAGAATACACGTGATTTATTTCAAAAGTGGCGTTTTAAATAATTTATTTTTGGAAAATTACTAATGTATCAAGATATACATCAAATTATTTATGAATGACATAAAATGCGAAATCAATTTCAGAAATTAAATTTTTACATCTTACTTTGATTAAAACTTTCATAAACTGCTTTATAATTAACGATATTACGGTTTATACTTATTTAATTGATATTATTACGACAACGGAATAATATAGTTTGCATATGTTCATATGAGAAGTTATATTCTATCACTTACCAAACGATATCAACCAGCATTTCGCATCCATCCATCTCTGTTCTAGACAAGCGACTGTTGCGCCATTAACGGAATTGGAAAAAAAATATCTAAAAATAAAAAAAAATTAAAATATAAAAATATATATTAATATATTTTAAAGTAAAAAATTATTAAGTGAAAAACGATTTAATTGAAACTATAAATTGTTACTTTTAATTAAAGAATCGATGTTGATATTCAACGAGCTAGCCCTACGTAGAGTGAGTGTAGCGACGGTTTAAAGGAAATTTAATACACGCCCACCATTTTCTTTTTAGTCAAAAAGAGTGGCATTTGTGTTTTTTGAAGATGATGAGAATATTCAAGCTCATTGTGTAAAAGTATGCAAAAAAAGAGTTTTAACCCTTAACTGAGATGGTGTGAGTCAAAATGACCGTATTTAGTTTTTTTTTTTTTAATTTTGAAAGTAAATAACAAGACATGACATTTCTTTCTTTAACCCTTTATTTAAACGTTTCTAAACAAGACAAAATGTTTTGTAGCAATAAAATTCACTAGCTGTTACCCGCAACTTCGCCCGCGGGGGTTTTGCAAGCAAACCCCATTTATATTCAGTATTTCAACAACCATAGTACAGTAATTGTTATTTAATACCTACCGCTGAGAATGAAACGAACTGTTTTCAATTTGAACAGTTTTCTGGAACGTTTACAATCGTTCTATAATCGAACCAATATGCAATAACAAATTCGAATTTAAAACGGTTTGAACATTTGGTTAAAAATCGAAATACATAAAAATATTTATAACAATGTCTGAAATGTTATCAATTTAAGAAAAAGTATGGAAATCAATTTCAAAAGCCGTTCTTCATGTTAAGCATTAATGCTTTCCCGCTCCCTCTCCCGGGGAATTTCGAAAAATCCCTTCTTAGTGTGCATATCCATGGCATACCCTTCTAAAACGCAGATAAAAACAAAAAATCGGATCTAAAATAGTACAGTAGAAGTCGTTTTTCCGGTTAAGCCTTAATGCTCTCCCTCTCCCCTCCGTGGGGGAATTTCAAAAAATCCCTTTTTAGTGTGCGTTTTCATGACGTACCCTGTGCACCAAATTTCACCTTTTTAGGTTCAGCGGTTTGCTCTGGGCGATGATGAATCAGTGATTTAGTCAGTCAGGACAAGTAATTTTATATATTTAGATTTCTAAACATTCCTAATTTTACTTCCCGGCTGTTAGGTGTACATAAAATGGGAAAGCATTGGTATCGTGTCAAATTTGACCCTCAGTTTTTTGTAAATCTCCATGTTTTCAGACTCATTGAACCCAAAAAAGTCTAAAAATAAGGAAAATATTTCGTGTATGTGTGTGTTGGCGTCTATAAGAAACGAAATTTGACATGACAGCTTGTATAAGAAACATTGATGCTACTTATTAATTTAATAGAATCAAGGCACCTTATTGTTATTTAATAGCATCATAGTTCCTCGATAATATTAAAGAGGTGGGAGATAAAGGGTTCTCATATGTCATATCTCGAGAGAGGTAGGACTTAATGCAGACGTTATTCATTATTAACATTTACACTTTTTTTTAAACTCATTAATACCCTCTAAATTAAGCTTTTTACCATTCGATAATAAATAAAAATATAAAATGTTATAAGTAAAGATTTTTCCTTCTAATAGTCGTAATTATCAAGTCTTTATTAATTATTTGCAATTAGTCGCACTCTTAGTCTATCGCTCTGCGAGATCTCCGGATCCCGCAATGAATTCAGATGGGTCGAAATGTGGTCACCGTATGGTGAGTTGTTAAAGCAAAAAGGGAATACGAATAAAACAATAAAAAAAAAAAACTTTATTTTTCACCGGTTAGTTAAATTTAAGTTCTACAGGATCTTTCGATTCCGACACTCCTTTAGGTACTGGGCTTACCCGTAGGAACAAAGAATCCCACACGCAGGTAGGAATGTTGAGACAAAACCCGCGACAAAGTTAAGATCCAACCGACAGTTTCGATCGCGACAAAATACATATATATCTAAGACTTAAAACTAATTATCAAGAATAAAACAGAAAGGGACAGAATTTAAGACGTATAGATTGGAAAAGGGATGAGAGATGGGTACCCAATGGTGGTCGACGCTCTAGTTTTAATGAAGATGGCCAATACGTACTCTTCTCGGTTCGCTGGGGGAGGACAGGTGAAAATCTCCTCTACACTGAAGAAGGAATCTCTTTCCACTCGTCTCGTGCGTGCTTTTATGCCAAAGTTCTGTGGGTTCGTCCAGGTCTATATCTCTGACTGCTGCTAAAACAGTCCAGAGATCTCTCATGCACGTCCTTCTTCTCCCACGTCCGGGCTGAAAGTGTCCTCTTCATTCTCTCCCTCAGGGCTCCCCTTTTCCCTTTGTTTTCCAAGTAGGTCAATTCACTCCACGTGGTTAGAAGTTTCTAGAATGTTCCATAGAACAAAGGACAAAGAGGGAAGAAAGGAAAAAAGGAAAATATCTCGTATTTTCATTTTATACAAAAAGAACAATATGGTGGTACACCACAGAAAAACCTATTAGGTAGCCGGATGGACGAGCGGTTAAGTTGTCGTCATACCTCTCTGTGGTCCCGAAATCGAATCCGGACGGGTTAAGTAATTGAGTAAATGCAGTCATAAGGTGATCATTGATTAATTAATAATTATTTATCCTAAACTATAGATTTGACGGAATTGGAAAAAAATATCTAAAAATAAAAAAAAATTGTAAAAAAAATTAAAATATAAAAATGTATATTAATATATTTTAATACAGAATTGTGATGTAAAACATTGTGAAGAAGTATCTGCTTACGAAGACTTTTTCACACATTTTACAGAACAAGTTGTTGCAGTTTCTACTTAAAGAGCATGCAGAAGAGATGCTAGCTTACATAATTCATTGTTACGTTCTATTGAGAATGTGCTAATACGCAAAACAAAAATCATCCAGTAACCATGCTAATAACGAGTACAATCTTCATTAATTCCGATTCCACTGAGATACGACACATAACCCCCTTGACCTTTAACCATCAAAATTTAATAGCATTAATGCCCTTTATACAAATATATCATGCCAAATTTCGTTTCTTAATCGTTATCCTATTCTGAGATAATAACGAAATAGACACCAGCACTCACGCAACCACTAAATTTCCCCCTTTTTTAATACTTTTTTTTGGGTTCAGGAAATCTTTTGAACCCAAATAACCATCAAGATTTGCAAAAAAGAAAACGGGGAGTCAAATTCGAGACTGTTCCAATACTTTCCCGTGTTACGTACGGTACATAACACGTCGGAAAAGTAAAAAGACCAAACATTTATAATTTGCTGCAATTGATATAACATCAGTTGCAGCAATTTTTAAATGTTTGGTCTTTTTACTTTTCCGACTTGTTATGTACCGTACGTAACACGGTACATAATACGGTAACACGTAAATACAAAAATATTAATATCGTCTGCGTGGTGTTAAACTAAAATACAAAATTGATAATACTGCGATTTTAAATTTTATTATTATTATTTTAGTTCTATCGAAATAATTCATTTCGATTTTGTTATGCGAATTTAATGTATAACGTATCAAATCGTTATTTTCGGTTTTTTTGGATCCCGGATACAAAATATCCGTTCCGTCTGTGAAAAGGTTTTTTTCACTAGCGATGCTTTGCACATGGCATACAAGAAGCAATCGTTATGCCAATTTCGGCCTTCGAAAGATGTATAGCGCGTTCCATTAATGCCTATAAATATAAAAAAAAACGGAGTAAATAAATTTAATTCTGTTGCAAGTATAGAACAATTAAATAAAGGTAACCGATAACTGGTCTGTTGCAGCCGCTGCATCTGTTTGCAAACAAATTTCCGAAGCATTGGACACAATCAGTTTATCGTCTTTGGGTGCGAATCGCCGTCCCTCCAAACACACCTGACTCGTGCTGCAACAGAAACATTGACTATGCCAAAGTTTGTTGCCATAAATAACACCGTCGGTGGTGACAATTTGATGACACTCGAAGCAAGTTAAAGTAAACTTCTGTTGGTAACAGGTGTTGCAATGTCGTTAACTTTTGAACGAAGCCTTCGTTGCCTACGAAGTTAGCGCGGGCAACGTAACAGAATTTCATAGAAAAGTCTTGATCGGGAAGTTGTGTAATTAGTTGTGTTTAAACAATATTTTTCACCGGGAGTTCCAGATTTAGGCACTTTTCCGGAAGGAATCCGCACGAAGTACTATTAGATCTGAAAATACGAAAACCAATAGAGATGACAAGTCTGTAACTTCGATTGAATTGCCTTTGTACCGTAATTTTTTACTTTGGAGCTAAGCTTGTGGTACCAACGATTATTCTTCCTCTACGGCAGTTCATTTATCTTGTACTCCGTTTTGTTCGAGTCGATCCTCAAGTCCTATACAAACTCGGGCGTTAAACGCGCCATCTAGACGAATTTCGTGGCATTTACAATGATCGCAGATAGCTCTGACAGAGAAACAAAGCTAATTATCGTGGTATATTTAATCGTTATTCACTTATATATTTCGAGTTGTCTACCTCCAAGCTTAAGGTTAATAATCCAGGCACTGACTTTTGCACTTTAGATACGGTTGTCCTTCGTCTATTTCTACGGTTAGTGGGTCCATTTTAACTAAAAAATACAAGAAAAAAAAGACTTAAAAACCCACAAAATAATTTTCGAGCATCAAAAGAAATGATTCTTTTCTATTTACAAATATTAATTTCTAATATTTTGCAATTATTCATAAAGAAAAATACAATAGCATTATATTATAAAAATCATATATCACAAAAAATCCGCCATGAAACAAAGTTAATAAGTGAATTTCATTTGAGAGAAGTGAGGCGTTAACCTCATTGTGGCCACAGAAAAGTACTGTACCCTGTTAATGTCCAATGGACGTTGAATCAAAAGAAGAAAAGCTAATTAATGTAAGAACTGAACATAAATTATAACTATTTTTAAGTTCGATTTGTTTCAAAAATATTTCAGAAAGAATTACAAGTGATATGAATCAAAATAAATAAAATTTCAATGAATATAATATGAATATTTTAAAATAATCTTACTGGAGCATATCATACTGGGCCTGTACCAGTAGCGCGTGATAGTTTTATGGTAAACCCAAGTAAATTTGAATTAGTGGACCCCACGTACAGTGTTGACTTCAGACATTTTTCTTCTGTGCATACATTTTCTTATATAAGATTGGTTTGGAGATCTCTGTTGGTAGAGACCCGAAAAAGTTGCCCTTTTTGCCCGTAGGATAACGCGCTACTGGCCCGTACAATCGTCGACAAAGTCGTAAAACTATCGATCAATATAATTTGTTTAGAATTGCTAAAAAAAATTCGATAACTTGCCGAAATTCTTTCGTCTCTTCTCTCCATGATCTTTTATGGAATGTTAGGACAATGCTAACGTTTTTTCTTCTCTTACAAAACAATATACGTTAATTATTGTTGCAGCCGATGGAATTATTGTGAATTTTCCAAGCCAATTGTGAATTCGATCAGCTCCACAATGGACTTTAACTCCTTCGGTTTGACAGATTTTTTAATGATAGAGATATCATCGAACAGTTTCTGTTTTGTAAAGAGCCTCAAACTACAACTACTAGCCAGGATATTTTCATTTCGATTATTATCTTAATGACCACAGCCTTTCGTTGAAAGATTTGTGGTATAAGTATTGACAGTGCAGCATCAATGATAAAGAAGTATAAAACTTTTATCACCGTTATCTTGAATGAAGATTCATCCATAATAATAACTAATATTTTTTTCTTCTTTTTTACACATAGAACACTAGTTGCAAAAAATTTCAGTATAAAGTTGACTGAAATTTTGAATCAAATTGCTACACAATGTAAAAATATTTGCAAGGTTTGAATAATAATAACTGATTTGAAAATACACTTCTATAGATTTGTAAATAAATAAAATTCACAAAAACATACTTCAGAATAAATTTATTTATTCAAGCATGAGTAGCAAATAGATTCAGAGACAAATTTATAAAACGATGAAGATGAATTTTAGATCGTAACTTTGCAAACATTTCCTTTGGCATTCTCTTAGTTTGACTGTCGAATGTACTGTATTCTAAAACTTGCATGCACGCCTATAGGAACCGGCACAAACTCATTCCAAGCGAGACATTCTCTGCCTCCCATCCATCTTTCCTATGTGTTATATGTATAAATTTTACCGAAGTTCGTTGAAATCCGGCAGCCTGCCAGTCGTGTTACAAATAATTGGCATTAAATCCAAAAACGCGTCGTGAACAAAATGGTATACATCGAATAGCAATTTCTCACCGAAATAATATACGTATTATGTAAGAAATATGTTACATTGCAGGCCAACTAAAAACAATTTATGTGCAAGTGTCTATAACAGTGTTTCTCAACCTCTAACAAATCGTAGCCCCCTTCAACGTAGTATCGCCCCCTTCACTACAAAATTCCGATGCCGAGGGACAAGGCTAACGTCAAATTCGTACTGCATTGAATAGACTAGTGACTAGTATAATGTTATTTGTTTAATTATTGTACGATATAACGAATAAAATATCTAATTATTCTTAATATAATGTTTTACTATATCGCCCAGAAAATTGTTTTTCGCCTCCCAAAATATAAATTGTTACTAATCGCCCCCTCAACATGGAGAAACGCCCACATGGGGGCGATAACGCGCCCCGTTGAGAAACACTGGTCTATAAGAAACTGTTTATATGGAAGTGTCACTATAAGAAGGTGACAGCCGGATATTTGAGCGGTTAGTACTTCAGTCTACCTCTCTGAGATCTGATATGAACTGTTCAAGAATCTGTACCTTATGTGTCAAGACAGCCTAGCAGCCCAAATTGTGGATCTTCAGAAACCAAGCATGGGTAAGATTAAAACGATCCTCCATAAACCTCCATAAACCTCCATATTCGTGCCCTCCGTAAACAAAACAAAACAAAAAAAAAAATCACCATCTGCCATATTGCAAGTGTGATGAAATATACGATCAGCACCAAGATCTTTAATTAATGATCTTATGTAAAAGTTAGCAATACTGAAATACGAGCGCAGATAATTTCTTACCATAAGTAAATTTCCAGAGATTTAACAGAAAAATTCATCACAATACGATTATTGATGCTAATGTGTGAAATTCCATTTAATCCATGTAAGATGTGATTACCAGAGCCTCTTCGACCGTCAATTTAAAGCGTTTTAATCTTTAAAATTGGCGTTTCCACTTCCCGGGACAAGGACCCAGGGGTTGGATTTGTGGAAAGCGAGTGTTCGGGTTGTTTCATTGTGTCGAATTACAGAGAACGACGGGTTTGACGTGTAAGTGTGTGAGCGCGAGAATTCGAGTAAAGGTTAAACGGTGTATATATCTTTGTGTACAGTAATGTTGTGTTTATGTGTGTGATCGAAGAACATCTTCGGCGTGTCTATAAACAGAAAAACAGTAAATTACGATATGAGTTCTTAACATCGGAGATTTCGGAAAATATTCACTCGTATGATAAATGGCCACTTCGTCCTCTTCGTGGTAAAGTTGGGGAGGGAGATTCTTCTCCCTCCCAAATGTTCCTGCAGAAAACAAAAACAGTGAGAAAACGAGTTCATTCATTTATTACCTAAGGTCAATATTATTAGCTTTATCAGACAGTCTTTCTTCCCGAACAGTGTTATGAGAAGAGCGAAGGACCTGACCTAGCCTAGCCTAGCCTAACCTAACAGGAAGCTCAATCCTCATAACAGCTGTTTGGGTAGAAAGCTCGGCCGAATGTCGCGTCCGGGTGGTCACAATCGAAAGTCAAATCCATTGTCGTCGATCGAGTGTCACGTTTGGGAGACAAGTCCGTTAGGTGAGAACATCCGGGTAAGAGAATGCCACGTCCGAGTAAAGGTGTCATGTCCGGGTGAAAAGTGTCAAATCCGGTCAGAATGTCTCATCCGGGTGCAAAGGACGAGTTGGGGAAAATCGAAGAGGATCACTGCGTAGGCCAAGGGAACCGCAGCCTTCCACAGCAACAAAACCGCGGTTCCTCGACTTCGGCGGCGCTCTCCTCCGAATCTTCCCCGTTCCGACTTCCGAAAGACGATGGCGACGTGGTCGCGGACAAAGACGTATACCTCGCGAAAATAGACGAACTCCAAGAGGACTCGTCACTCCCTATGCCTTCCTTAACAAGGCCTAGGGTCGGCTGATCCATGACGACCTTGGCCAAGTGGAATGGACTCAGAACTCTCCCGCCTCCGGGAGAATCCCACGCTACACGCACTGGGGGAAGGTCGTCACCACCCGCTGCCTCTCGTTCGACGGCCTCAAACGACACCGAACTAATCGATTCGACAGAGACCCAGTCGAGCCCACGGTCCTCGAATGTCTCATCGGAGCCGTCGGAGGAACCCACTCCCTCCGGTGCCACCGCATTCTTTCGTCGGAACCTCCGGCGAAGCCACGCAAACATCTTCATTCTGAAAAAAAGAAAATTTGCAATTAGTTGATCAATGTCTAAATTCTTCCGAGAAAAGCAAAATGCTCACCGCAGCTGCCTTTTTAAATCTAAAAGATTTGAATCCGAAGCGCAAACGGTCGACCATCGAACGATGTGCCGAGATGTCTTCTGGGACCGATTCTCCAAGTAATATTAAATAAATTTTTACGTCTAGAGTCAATATGGACTAAGAATTACTTGAAAAATCTTGAATCTTCTCTGCAAAAATCGGCAAACCGCAAAAAAAAAAAAAAACAACGCAATCCAAGAGCACAACAAAAGCACGTCCGATCACAAACACAATCGAACTGCGAATCATCATGCGTGACGAATTTCGAACAAACGTTAAAAGACGCGTCAACAATGTTCGAATTACGTAAAAATCTGAATTAAAAAAAATCAAATTTTTAATTAATTTTATAATTTTTTTCCTTTTTTAAATTTTGCTTCAGTCATTTTCTTGTGTTCGGAATTTGAAAGGATTCGCAAAGAGAAGAACCTATCACTATATCGTTAGATTGACCAAATTGTTAACCTAATCGATATAGCAGGACTAGGAGATATAGACGAGCAGGATATTGAGGTATTACTGCAGGTTTCTGGTGAGGGCCTTACCAACGACAACCTTCAAGAACTGGCAGAACAAGTAATTCGTGTAGAACTGGAAAATAGAGATTCTGAAAACGAAGAATCCAAAGAATTTCTCTACAGATTTCTTTAGTGAAAGTTTGGTAACGATAACCGAAATTGTTGATCAAATTGTAGCGAATTATTCAAATTTTTGAAAGGAGTGCAAAAGCAAGCGTTTTGCACAAAAAAAAGCGAGGCGTTTTGGATGCGATCTCTTGCTATCGACATTTGCTTAAGGAAAGAAAAAGAAAGCAACAAATGAAACGACACGACTTTATCGCAAGAAAGAAGTATTTTAGAAAAGCCATAACATTCATCACAAAAAATGAACTTTACATTTCTGTGTGCACATGTTTACGTGTTATTTAACATATATTATTATGCGAATTAATATAAAAATAACTTAAAGTAAAATTTATTCATTTTTGGTCGCGTGTTTCCCTTTCCATATATACTCTATGTTAAAATGACTTCGTTTAAGCTGATTCGTTTAGCGCTTTGTCGTCTAGGAACGCATTCTCTGCGTTAAGTGGGATCTTGGTGTATTTGTAAGCAGTTTTATAAAAAAGACAAAAGCAATATCTGAGTTAAAAACGAGATAATTTCATATATTAAAAGAATTTTGAATGTTTACAGATGACTCTCTTTATGCTCAAGCCAAACTTACGCCTTGAAGCGATTGAAGCGCTCGAAGTGGCAGAAAGATTTATTACGCCAGTATCGTATCATTGGAACTATTGACAGCGCAAGGACCAGGTTCTATCTCTCATATTAAAAATCAAATAGCATTAAAAAAAAGACTAATATATTTATATTACAGTTAAACGTTTCAAATAATACAATTTTTAAAATTAGTTTAAATCCAGTTTGAGTTCGATATAATTTACGAAATTAATTTATTGAAAGCCAATTAATTATTCAAACAAATGACATCATCGGGAAAATCGTAATATTCTTCACGTCTCCGATTGGACGAGACTTATTTCTGTGTATTCTCACCGGAAGGCGTCGCGCGTGCTTCCGTGGAGTGTTTGGATATGCACAGTACTTCTTTTTTATTCATGTGTAGAAATTAAAAGTGTTTAGTAATATAGAAAGTAGCCATTAAGAAGCAAAAGTCGTTTCAAAGCTTTAAAGATGTAAACCGAAAAATATCAAAAGCAAAAGGAAAGTTGAACAATTGCAATATAAGGTAGGTAATTAAACCTTATTCATAAGTAATCTGTCCTATATATATTACCATTTTGGGGTTATATTTAGAAATAAAGCTGACCTTAAATATTATTTAGGTAATGTAAGTGTGATAATTCGATTATAAATGTATGTATGAATTTAAGTGTGACGTCACAGTAGTTTTCAGAAAACAGCTAACTTTCTATTTTCTGTATCAATAGGAATGGCATTTTACACACACACAAATAGTGTTTTATGTTTATATATATATATATATAACGTATGTTAATTAATGCAATATTTAATTATTAGTTTTATGCAAAGTCCTTGGTAGATGATTATTTAGTTATTTTTGTAATTTAATTTATTATACTTAAAAACCAAAATTTGTATTACAGGAGAGAAAAAATAGAAATTTAGAAGGTTTTTTTTTTTCTTGTTTTCAATGGTAAATGGCTGTATTTGCCAATTGTGATTTTGCTGTTTGGAACTAATCGAGTCCTCGTATGGTTAGTTTCAAACGGCAAAATCATAATTAGTGAATACAGCTATTTACCATTGAAAACATTAAGCTAATACAATATTCTTTTTTCTATTACAATCTGCTATTGCATTTTCTCTAGTATACTTTAGATATCTGTATTATATCTAAGAGAATTGGCATTTCTCAAATATCTTATCTTTGAACCTATTACAGTGTATATTATAGTAAAAATATCATTTTGAAATATGAATTGATATATGTTGGTATTATGTATTCATAATTTAAAAATGTGAAAATATAAAACCATTTGACAATATTCGGTAGGCTGTCAATTTAATGGACTAATTGGGGTAGTGGTGTCTGCTGTTGAGGAAAGTTTGTTAAATCGAACGTATTTTAAAAACGTAATAAGGAACTTACGATGTACAGGATGTATTAAAATGTTGTTATAATGTATATGTAAAAGTATGAATGAAATATTATAATATACATTGAATAATTTATACTCGTTAGCTCGACTTTGTGTGCTTTATTTGCAAATTAAAAAAGATTCTAAATTTTTCCATTAGGAAAGAAATTTTTTGTCCGTTAAATTCGAAGTTCATTAAATTGAGGGTCTACTGTATATTTATTTTTACTGTTTAATACAAAGTAAATGATTTCAGATGAATTGTAATTTGTTATGGTTGTTTGATATCATTTCTTGCTAATTTATATCAATTCATATTGTTTAGATATCGTTTATATATATGTGTATATATAGTAAATCCAATAATGCAATTTTTAAATTTTTATTTACTCATTTCTAATTGATAAATTTGTTAAAGCCAAACAATTGCTGAATCATATTACTACTGTTATTAATTAATTTAGCATTAGAGGTGGGCATTAGGTGCCATTTCTTGCTAAATTTAGTAATTATAATTAAATGAATATTTCAATAATTTAGAAAGTTCTGGAAGAAAATAATTGGCCCAAAGCATGGCTTGAATCTGTAGTGACATTAGGCACATTGCCTGGTGAAGTGATTTTAATATAGCTTTGTATAGTTGGATGAATTTGTTTTAATGCTGAAAGTTTTTCTTCAAAATAGTCAAATATTTAAATGTTCCAAATATAACTGATGTAAATTACTGTAGTATATACATAGAACTTGTATATAAGGCATTGATACATATGATCAAAAATATGTTATACAGTACATAAATCAGAAAATAAGATAGCTGACTTAAATAATAGAAGTTGCAATTAATAGAATGTTTCATATTTATCCTACTTTTTTCTCACAGAAATATCCTACTTTTTAAGAAATTGTCCTGATTGTCCTAGTTTTGATCTTTAAAGTGATAATACAGGATCACTTTTTTTCTGAATGAATCATAACTAATGCATATTAGCTGTTCATTCCTACATTTGTTTATGTAGTAGTAGTAAAAGGTACACACCAAAAACTCTGAATCTATACTATTATTATAAAGATGTAATGCTTGTAAGTTTGGATGTAGCGGGTAATCTCCGAAACTACTCATCCAATTTCAAAAATTCTTTCACCAATATTTAGAATGGAACTTCAGGTGGACATAGGCTGTATATTATTCCATTAAACATTCATATAAATTAAAAGATATAATCTAGGTTAAGGCTTTTATGTCCAACAGATGACACTACGAGTATGACGCCCTAAGTTTGCTTTTCTGTGAGACATTACGCTTTTCTGTGAAAATGAACTAAAGCAGATCATCATCTATCTATCTACATAAATAAAAGTGTAATGTTCGTTTGTTCCTACCGATTCCTTTGAAATTTTCACACAACGCTGCATTCGAATACGCACGTGTTTTTATATAATATACACGTCGAAATTCCCCCCACTGAAGGGAGATGGTTAGGATTAAGGCTTACCATAAAGAACTCTGCTTCTATTTATACTATTTTAGATGCGTTTTTTTTTGCGATTTTGATTGCGTTTTAATAGGGTACATCAACAGAATGTACACTAACAAGGATTTTTCGAAAAATTTCCCCCCCACGGGAAGTGTTATACAGTACATTTATAATAGATACATTTTGAGCCACAACAATGCGTGGCGGGGTCTGCTAGTCAATTATAAAATGAACGATTGAGTCAATTACTAAAAAATATAAAAACTTTAATGAGAGATGTAAACAAATTATAAAATTGTTTAAGCAAATGTTTTTGCTTCATCAGTCAAGCTTCTTTAGGTAATGGAACAAGCAATTCGTTTACAATTCATGAAATGAATATTAACTCACAAAAAACCTTTATATATCAGTGTTGTGTTTGTTACAATATCCACTAATGTTTTCAACCTCCACCGGGTCTTCTTCAGGTGCTGACTAAGCGGTGTCTCCCCTTGACCATTAGAACGATGTTGTCCGAGTTGTAAATATTGTAATAAACACAACACTGATATATAAAGGTTTTTTGTGGACAGTTATTACTCAATGCAGTGTTACAGTTAGAAGATGTTTTGTGTTAGAAATGAATATTGTCAATCTGTTTTCGATGTGGGTTTTACTGTAAGCAAATTCAATAATCATTAAAAGATAAACTTTAAATCAAAAATTTAGAGAAATTTAAACAAAAGTAGAAATTTAAAAAAATTCTAGTTATTAGAGAGTTTGATTTTCAAGTTTGTATTGTTTATCAATATTCCATATTACTTTCCTGGCTCTGCTATATATAACAGAGGGAAAGTATGGTGATCAGTCAAAAAATGACACTCCAAAAGATTTTTAGTATTTAATCTATATGTATAAAATTGAATGTATGTCTGTGTGTCTGTCTGTATGTCCTTCATGCATTACTAGACTGTTTATCTGATTGCCATGAAACTCGATTGCCATGAAGCTTTGGGAAGTTTTTTAATACACTCCCGCAAAGGTTTCTGGCATTTATCCTACGATAGATGGCACACGTTTACACGAGCATTCGAGCAGTGTGTGTTCGATCAATTTCAAATTGTGAAGACCATTTCCCCCCTTCAAAAAATATCTCTATATATGCATTTGTGAACTGTTATTTACGATATTTGTAATAATTTTTGTTTAATCACTTTATTTCAACTTTTTTTTGCTAATTATGTATTCGCTCGAACTTCGTTAAAACCTTAACTGTACCCCGAACAACAACCGAAGTTGTAGGAAGAAATTCGCGTATTTTACCGATCTAGGTATCCCCCTTTTCCAAATTTTAATATTGACTCAAAGTAATTTAAAAAGACAAATTACAATAAAACGGTTTATTATCCAACTATCAGAAATTTCATAACTTGCCAAGGAAGAGAGGAAGGAGCAATTAAATAATTAAAATTATAAAGGATTAAAATATATATATAAAAATGGGGAATATCGCACTTCTAACAGTCTCTGCGAGTATGTAGGCTAAATTTAAAAAAATCGTGCTTCTCACATGGACAACTGTATGTGGACAACTCACGCGTCGGAAAACCTTCTGATTTATTCGTGTACACACCAGAAGAAAAAACAAAAAATATCGTGTATCCACAAACACTCCAATAAATAAATAGAATTGAAATGGCACTTTGAAATGTTTTCCCGATGAGAATGAATAATAATAATAAGTTTCAATAAAAATGATAAAATGTAAATTTAATTTTATTATAACGAGTTTGCTTGAATTTCGTTTCTTCTGAGATCGCAGCAATGCGCGACGGGTAAGCTAGTTTACAATAAATATCAAGAAGTATGAATTATCAAACAGCATTGAGTGTATTAAAAAATTTTTTAAGATAGGTTTTGAAATTTATAGTCACTGGATTAATGCAGACAATGTCAGTTGTAAATTAAAGATGCAAAGAATTGCATGATCTGACAGTCTGTGTAATATTTTAAAGTATCGACAGCACAGTTATCTATTACTAAGCATTACATAGTTTTTGTTGATACTTTCTTTAAAATATGACTAGTGCAAAAAAGAAAAAAATGTTTTATTTGCTGCTTTGTTACTACTTCGTGCATATCCAGGGCTATATTTCAGCCAGAGTATGCTGGTCCACCAGTAAACTGTACTGGAAGATAACATAACATAAAAAATAGTGATAGCCAGTATGTAGTACTGACAGTGCTCAATAAAAACAGTTCTGTAAATTCAGTTACTATGTACCATATGCATACTGACAGTAATTTTTCTTTTCTTTAAAGAAAAAAAAGCACTGTACAGTACATACCAGTATTGTAACAACAACTACTTTTACTTGATTATTTTTACAGTATTACTTTTTCATACTTTTAATTAATTATTTATTTCAACAATCATGTAATTCTCAAATCAAAACAGGAATTAGAAAGTAAGGCTAAGAAATAAATGATTGCTTTTTTCAACATAATTTCTCTAGCTGTTAGGAATGACACTTATAATATTAAGAATTCTGGGGTGGTTGAAAATCTCACTATAATCACAAACTCACTGTGATTATTGTGTGAACAAACTTTTTGCAAATGTGTTTATATTCTTAGTTATGCAAGTGATAAAAAGCTGATTGAACTCCTCA